TGAACAGGTTAAAACACATACACATATCTTCTCATTGCAAATTTGTTGTTACCATCTTTGTGTATGAGTCCTTTTGAGCCAACAATAAAATCTATAGAAAAAAAATTATGGAATTTAAGCTTACTCAGAAACCCATGAGTTTAGAGGAGAAAGTTTTATTAACTGTGAACAAGGTGTTAAACTTAACAGCTATACGGTAGACAACTATACAGTAGCAGACTCTCCAAGGAAGTTATAAGGCTAAAGGTTTGGGCAATCAGAATGAATAATGGTATCCAGGGACTGGCAGCAAAAGAAAAATCCAAAACAATTTTTAAAGACTATGCAGATTGGCACCATTATTTTTAAGAAACAAAAATAACTGCTATTTACCAAGTACCTACTAGTTTCTTTACATGTATTATATCTAAAATCCTTCAAAGCAGGTACATTTCATTTGTGAGGAGACTAGCTGAAATGGACTTGCTTACTGAATGGCAAGTCAGAAGTATTCCTGCCAGAGGCAAATGAGCTGTAGGTGAGCTTGTGAGGGATTCACAAACAATAAGCTGGGCAGAAGCATGCAGGCTAAGAGGCAAAGGTTCCATGCATATTGATTCTATGCAGTGGAAAGAAGGCATATAATTTGTCATATGCTTACTATGTGCCAGGTACTCTAATAAATGCTCATAAATATCACTCAAATATTAAAAATCTTTCATGATAGGAATCACAATTCCTGAATTTACAAATGGGAACTGGAGGCTCAGAGAAGTTGAGTAACTTGCCAAAGGTCACATTGCTATCCTGTGTTGGAGCCAAATTAGAATCCAGGTCAGATGAGAGACGATGGACTCTGAAAAACAAACTGAGGGTTCTAGAGGGGAGGGGGGTGGGAGGAGGGGTTAGCCTGGTGGTGGGTATTGAGGAGGGCACATTCTCCATGGAGCACTGGGTGTTATGCACAAACAACGAATCATGGAACACTACATCTAAAACTAATGATGTAATGTAGGGGATTAACATAAGAATTAAAAAAAAAAAATAGAATCCAGGTCAGTCTGATTACAAAGCTTTCATTCACCTAGGTCATGTTGCTTTTCCTAAGGGCAATAATTTTTTGCTGACTTCCATTTATGTTGCTCAAATTCATTTTGTCTTTTATCTCTAAGAGAGTGCTCACATCCAGGAACCTGAGGAAGCAACACAAACTTTCACAGTTGGGCAGGGCAATAAGAGATCAGGCAATTGATCCTCTTACTTCAAGGGTCCTAGCCTAAGGCGTATTAAGGTTATGTTGCCCTGCCAGTTAATGGTACAGCAGTGTCTCCTAACTTCTGGTTCAGAGCCTCTTTCATTAAGACAATTCATGGAGACTATTCATTGTAATAGAGTGAAAGAGAAAAGAGCAATTCTGACAAACATAATAACTCCCAAATTAGATTTCCTTATTATATATAAAATAAAAATAGCACAGAATTACTATGTAATTATTAAAATGAATGCAGAAGTCCTTTACTTGAGAGAGCTGATACCCCTAAGTAAAATGCAATAAAGATTACTATTTGTAAAACTTTGAATTTACATAGTTAATTACCATTCCCAACACAGCTCCAGGTTACTGTTTTAGAGCTAAGGAAATAAAAGAAGCTAATTAACTTAAATATTGTTAAGAGAGAAGCCAGGATAGTTAGAATGGTTAACTGTTAAGAACATCAGTTTTTAGTATTTTCTGATTGTAGTACAATGCAGGGAAATAATTAACAGCTTCACTTCTGAAGAATCTTTAAATATTGGAATAAGTGAGTATCACTTGGGATATTTTCAATTGCAAGTAATTGAAAACCCAGGTTCAAAGTGGCTTAAACAGCAGTGAGGGGTTACTAAACTTAAAAAGGACTAAGTCCAGAGGCATCAAAGGTTCCAAGGCTGGTTAATTCAATTTCACATCATTATCATGGACATTCCATCATTCTACTCTACCACATTCAGTAGTCAGCCTGTTTTTCATGATCCAAGCCGTTCCAGATGGCCCATGTAATAATATCCAAAACATAAGAATTTCCTTTCGAACATCTCTATTATTCAAAAAATGTTTTGAGCAGCTCCCCAGCAGATTTCTCCTCCAACTCCCATTGAAGAAGCTTAGGTCAAGAGTCCCTCTTCCACGATAACTGGCAGTGAATGATTGCCATAAACAATCGTTATTTGAGCTCGGCCTCCCTCAGGTATATCATTCTGCATACTGGGAACCCAGATAAAAACTGTTCTTTCAAGAGTCAGGGAAAATGGATTTGGGTGGGAAAGCAAGAGTGTCCTTCAAAGTGAACTTCTTTAGGAAGCAGAAGAAACAACAGAACTAATTCTACTCCTGCCCACAAAGACAGGAATGTTAGTGGTAAATTGAATATTGTGATAACTGTTATTCAGAAGGTGGAATATATTCCTTGAGCCTAGTCTACATAACTTCCAGTTTCCATTTTCATAGTAGACAAACATGTTATGCTTTGGTTAAAACTTTTGTTTGTCATCTATGACAGTTTCCCATTTGCCCTGCCTACCAGTAAGATTAACATGAGGAAATACACATAAAATTCAGCTAACCTTTAGGAGAGGCCTGATAAAGATGAGGTAAGAATTTCTTAAGGTAACTAGAAAAGGAGTTTACATTTATTTAAGGAAGGGACTCACACAGACTAGTTCCTAAATGGAATTTTTTGAATTATAAGGAGTTAAAAAAGGTAAGAATTGGAAGGTATAAGAGAGAATAGGGTTACCGAGGAGGGCAGAATTTGAATACTTTCCTTGTTAAGGAAGAGCTGTTGACCTTATATCTGAAGAAGGGATAGAGTATGAAACATCAGGGAAGTGGGCCCCATGCAACAAGATACGGATATTCATAATTTAGGAAATTTTTATATTATTCATTAAAATATCATCTGAAACATTCTTTCAACTTTTGCAGAATGCACCTTCAAAATCACCAATCACAGTGTCTTACTGCACAACAATCTTTAAGTGTAAGTTATAGTACTGAAATTTGGCTACCCAAGCAACGTATTATCATATACTGCATACATAGATCATTTTTACCAGCTACCTTTAAAATGTATGTCATGAGTTCAAATGGTGGATTTAACAAGAATAGATGGATGACACTTTTTTCTGGCATCGTACCATTCCTTGAAAACTGAAAGTATATGACCTAACTGTCTCCAAAAGTATCCAAGTATAGTTTATAAATGTGAAATATTTCAATAAAATAAAACTACAAGTATTTTTATAAAAAAACTTTAAAGCTTAAGCCAATTCCAGAACTTCTTAGATTAGCAATTCTTGTTTTAGGATGTCACCTTATTTGGGAGGTCAAAAAAACACACAAGAAATTTCAGATTAGTCACTTCCCTCATTTACTAACCTTAGCAGTAAGAAGCTTTAGAGTATTTAAGAAGTTCAACTCCAATCTTAAAGAATAAAAATTTGCCAGCAGTGAGAATATTTAACAGGATATACTAAAGGCTTAAAAGCAATTAATTCCAAAGGTGTGGTTCTAAAAAGTATTCTGGTTATACTAGTACTAGTACAGTATATAAACAATCTTCCAAGCTGATACCTTCTCTAAGGAGACAAACTTTTGTTATGCTTGTTCAAAATGAGTCAACTTATTTTATAAGCATATCTTGTAAGAGTAGCTCTTACAGGTTAGTACAGAACATTATTTAGAAAAAAACTGACTTGGAAAAAAAAAAGGAAAAGAGTAAGATTGACTTGAAGAACTCTGTGAACTCAATTTTCCAGAAAGAAAGCCATCATTAAAACAAATAGCATGCCACTCTTCTGTTAAATACCATAAATTTTCAGCTTTTGAAAGTTCTGAACAAGCAGAATTGAGACAAAGAATCAAGAAACATCTGAAGTTCAATCAGCAATAGCCCTTGTTTTAGCCATACTAACTTTGCAGTGAATTTTTCTTTTAACAACATATTTAATTTAAAACTACTCTACACTGTAACTTACTTGCTTGGGAAAAATTATTAAAAGTAACAGATAAAATGCTCCCCAATAGTTCATTCAACAGGAATTAAAGTCTCATAATATATGTTTTTGAAATGTATGAAAAGTCTATTTAAAAAAAGAGGGTTGACTGATGTTGGCATCTTTACAAAGACATGCTGTGACACTGTTAAGAAAATAAACTTGCACAATCCATAAAAGGAGGCAGTTCTAATTTTTGTAAACCATTAGAAGCCACAAAGATTTGCAATATAAAAGGCTGAAGTTTACAGTAAATAATTTGAAATAATTTGAATTGCAACATATTTCTAACCTGACCATGCTGAAAATGAACAACTCGTAAGAAGACAACAGATTAACATGAATATAAGGCAATTCTCGAGTGTGGGAATAAGAATAATAAAATGAGATGCAGAGACTAGTAGTTTGCCAGATTGGGACGAGGCTGCTGAAACCGGGTAAATCTTAAAAGACTTAAGAAGATTGAGTATGTCACTCCCAACCAAAAAGAATTCACTGATAAAACCTCTGGCTTCTCTTTCATGTTACAACAACCCCCCCCCCCCCCAATTTTACACTCTGTGAAACCTGGAGTTCACTCTTTACGATTCTTTTTAGCCAAGTACAGTACTTTAACAATTCTGCTAACGTGGCAATCAGATGGGCAAAGGGAAAGGCTAGTGAGGAAGCAGAGCAAAGCAAGGGCTACTGGATACAGACCCTAAGACAGATTACAGCCAGAAGTGATGTGTCAGGAGGGATGAACAACTCAGAATTGGAAGAGCTGAGCCGTGGTGAGGCAGGAGGGAGGGAGGGAGAAAGGATCCGGAGAAAAATCCAGAACATGGGTCAGAGATAGAAGAGCAAGCGTGTGACCCAAGACGAAGGGAGGTATGTCAAAAGGAGGCAGCTGGCGGGCAGCAGGCCTGAGGAGCTATGCGAGGCTACGACCGGCCCACCCTCCCGCCCTACTTTTTCCTCCGGTCGGAGAGGCAGCGACCAGTCACCTGGAGTGTGAATTCCGGAGGGACTCTATGAGGCGCTGCTTCTGCTGTTGGAGGCTGGTGAGGCCACCGGGGGACCCAGCTGCGGAGGAGGAGGCGCTCTTGGTCAGGGGAAAGAGCCAGCTCATCCTCCACGGGTCCCCGGGCCCGAGGCCCTGGAAGGCTCTGGCCTGCTTCTCCCAGCTGCTCAACCCGGCAGTTCCCCAGCGACAGGAAGAGCAGTCCGAGACGCCAGGGTCCCAAGTGCTGGGGGGCGGCGTCTTCTCTAAGCAAGCCCGGCTGAGGGGTCCTTGGGTCCTGGGCGAAACACTATGACTGTGCGCAGCTAGAGAGAGGAAAGTAGCCGCCCGGGACGGGGAGCTCTACCTTCACGGTCCCGACGCCCAAACCAGTCAGCGCGGTAGCCTGACAGCCAAACGCTCCACCACCCCCGCTTCCGTCACCTGCGTGCTCCGCCCCCTCTGCGTGTCGCGTCATCACCTAGCGCCCCCGCCAGGACGTGCGAGAAGCGACGGCGCAGCACGGTGCGGCGCAGCCCCGGCTCCCCTTTCCCTTTTGCTGGGAGTGAGGTGTCTATGGGGCTCCCGCTGCTGCCGCCGCTACCGCCACCGCCACCGCCGCTGGTTGCTGTCTCTATGGCGAGGAGGAAGAGGAGGAGCGCGGGCTCAGCGACACAAGTAGATCTTCCGTCTGCCGGGGGGAGGGGCGGGTTGGGGAAGTAGAAAGGGGGCGGGAACGATGAACCTCAGAGGGTGAGCGATGGCGCCAGCTGGAACGCGGCTGGCGGAGGAAGAGCTCGACGGCGGGTGGAGGGGGGCAGGGTAACGGGCTGAGGGTATGTCAAGGGGGTGGCGCGGGCTGATGACGTAAAGGCTTTGTACCTGGGGCTTCGACGTTGTTGGACGGAAATTGGGAGTGGAGGGCGGTGGCCTAGATCCTCAGCTCCTCGTATTTCTTCTTGCAGCAGTGCTTGGGAGTCAGTCTGGCCCCAGTAAATGGTTATCAAGCACCTTCACGCTGGCCCTTTGCCGGGGAAGAGAGTTATCTATGACTTGAGTGGCTCTGTTTTGTCTTCGCTTTTTTGGGAGCCTGCAGTACGGAGATTGTATCTCTAGTAATGAGAAGGCCTCTGGTGCCTCGTCGGGGCTTCTGGAATTGTAGTAGAGAGAGAGGTGGAAAAAGCAATGTTAAGCTACAGGGTCTTTCTAAAGTGTGTGTGTGTGTGTGTGTGTGTGTGTGTGTGTGTGTATAGCGGAGTGGGGAGGGTAATAAGGGAGGGGTTCCCTAGATCTTTGGTTTCTGTTCTTGGAGGACTTGAGGTTACATTTGTGACTGAAGTGCTTGGGGGGGTATCATAATTCCCTTTTTTACCCTTGTTAGGATTCTTTCAAACTGAAAAATGAAGGAGCATTTGGAATTTTTCTGTCCAAGAATCAAAATGTTGGTCTGTACTCTTTATGTGGCATGATACTCTGTTTATGGACCAGAAGCAATAGATGTATGTTTATGCTCAGGTTTTTAGGAAATTAGAAATAGTTTGAAATGCTTACACCCTATTGCTTCCTTTCTCCCTTCTGCAGTTATGGACATTCAGTTTCTGTGGCTGTTACTTATTTTTCAGAAAGAGCTTTTTCTGGTTTTTTGTTGTTGTTGTTGTTGTTGGTTTACTAAAAAGTCCCTTCTAATCGGACTTGAATAAATGCTACTGAAGTAGATTTTGTAATCAAATCAGATTTTGAATGTTCTGTTAATGAGTAAAAGCAAACATTACCTTTGTCCTAATAATATCTGATCCCGTCACATTATATCACTATTTAACTTTTCATTTTCTATGTGGAAATAGATGTCTTTATAAAGTTCTTTTTGGAGAGTGAGTTGCATTCAGAGTAATCTTTAATGTTAAATTTTTAAAAAATGATTAGTATGTACACATAAAAAACACTGTTTTTACTTAACATTGATATTAGAACCAGAAAACTTATGTTGCAGTTCTTTTTTCCCTACTGATTAGATGTGTGATTTTAGACAAGTCATTTCCCAAACTGATTTTCTTACAAATCAAGGATTTTGAATAAATAATCTTTTAGGTTTGTATCAACTCAATTCTTCTATGATTCATATTTCTATTATCACTGGCTTTTATTTTGACAGGTACAAAAATAAAGGATAAAGTATTTTATGAAACAAACAAATCTTCAATCAAGTATAACATTTTGATGCTTGGCATCTAGACTTCTTGTGCCCTCACTATGCCAGCAGCAACTGTAGATCATAGCCAAAGAATTTGTGAAGTTTGGGCTTGCAACCTGGATGAAGAGATGAAGAAAATTCGTCAAGTTATCAGAAAATATAATTACGTTGCTATGGTATGCCTATCATCAAATCCTTAAGATGCTTCTGATAAAAGAGGAAGAGGGATTTTTTTTTTTTTTTAAGAGGAAGAGGGATTTTAAAAGTCTTGAATTCAGTCCATTTGGTTACTACTGTAGAGATTAATTTAATTATAAAAAGAAAATTTTGTCAGTGTCCTCCAACCAGAGACCACCAGGAACACTCCTGCAGTGTGACAAATTGGGTTTATTACTCATTGGAGGGAGGGAAAAGGCATACCACTGGAACCATGGGGCATTTGAGTAAGAGTGTTAGAAAGGACTTTTAGGATTTGAGCTTCTGTCAGGTGGTTTTAGGGAGGGATTAAGGAGGCAGTGCCTTGCTCTGAATTGGATGCTGTTGAGAAGGGTGGTAATTCTATAACAGGGTATCTTAATAAGTCTTGAATGAGAGAAAACTGGAATGAGACTAAAGCTATAAAGAAGCAACGGTTACTTAACATTAGCCAAGATAGAAGGATGTTTGGTCATTTTTGTGGTTTGGGCAATGTTTATGTTTTTGTCTATGCTCAGTCACGATTACAGAGTGGTTTTGTCTGATGTTGAAGTGTGAAACTGTTCATACTCAACAACAGAAGAACATTAGAACCTAGCTGTGAGTGCCAAGTTAGCTCCCAGCAACACTTAAGGCTTAACTGATAATACCAGATGAGCACACAGAAGCTAGGGAGCTCCTGCATGTCTTTCTCAAAAAAAAAAAAAAATCAGATCTCCCAGTGGAACATTGTTAATCTGCAGGTTTTTTGTCGTTTGTTTTAATCATCAGTGGAGTTGGATGAACACACTGTGCTGTTAAGCATCTCTGCTTTTGCATTTAGTATTCAATCTACCTAGGCCATCTATTCAGTTAATTATTTTGCTGCTTTATCTGCTGTACTTTGTACATCTATTATAGTTACCGTATTGTTTTCCATATTGTAAGTTCCGCTAAGCAAGGGGTTAGTGCCTTAGTCATCCTTTCTCTCCCACAACACACCTAGCATAACACAAAATATCCAGTAAAGTGGTTGTTGAGTTGGACTGACTTTAGAGTTTTAATTTCTTTACTGTTTCATAGTGATTTGGTATTCAGATTTTGTTCTTAGCTTCCCAGTTTGAATTTTAAAATTAAAGTGATATAGTATCATTTCCTCAGTATTTTTAATGCAAATAAATAAATGTACTTCTGTGGGGAGGGGCAGGTTGGTGAAAATATGAATATTCGAGTGTACATAGATAACCTATTTATAAAGGTATACTTACCCATAATTAGAATTGAAGTTGTTTTTTATCCCACAAAAATACATAGTGATCATTTCTCAGATGATAAGGAGTGACATTATAGACATGATAACGTTCTTCAGGAATAAGTGGGTATCATGTAATTTTTGATGACATATTTTCTCTAAAGTATAGAGAGAGTGCTATTTTAGCCCAAGAAATTAAGAGAGTTTTGATATTTAGAAAAACCTTGCCTCAGAAGTGCTTGGAAAGTATGATGCATTTTCCATTCCTTTTAACCAGTTCTTCATTTGTTTTAACACTGGCATACGGTTAGCATAGTTTCACATACCCTTTGAGAAACATGAATTTATGATTTTTTTCCCTTCCTTGGGAATAGAGTACTTGGTGCATTTATCATTCATGTCTTCTACATAATAATTTTTTACTGACACAGTATTTAAAGTAAGAAAAAGTCATTAAGTTTGTAGAGTTTTATTTTATGGATCTAAAAAGTAACGCTCTTCATAGTTAAAAGGTAATTTGTATTTGAATATGATGAATGTGTAGAATATTATCTATAGCAGTATTCTTTGACTTGAACCAAAAATTAATTATTCTAAGAATTTGTGGATTGTGGTTTTCACCATTTAGTAAATAATGAATCTTAAAACTATTTTACAGGACACCGAGTTTCCAGGTGTGGTTGCAAGACCTATTGGAGAATTCAGGAGCAATGCTGACTATCAGTACCAACTATTGCGATGTAATGTAGACTTGTTAAAGATAATTCAGCTAGGACTGACATTTATGAATGAGCAAGGAGAATATCCTCCAGGAACTTCAACTTGGCAGTTTAATTTTAAATTTAATTTGACGTAAGTGGGAAATAAATATAACCCAAACTTTTTTTAGCTTAATTTTAGGAATTGATTTCCCTCAAGTATGGTGAATGAAATGCTAACTGAATTTGGCGCAGTGATCCTAGAAATATTTAAAACCTAAAATTTCAAAAGACTAGATTTCTTCTAATGGGACAAAAGAACCAGGCTGTATATTCAGATACTTTGAATTTTAAAGATGTTGTTTGAAAAGTATGACTGCCACTTTTTTTGAAATCTGAAAAACTTTGGGTATTGAAAACACTTCTTGATAGAAAAAATAATCTTACATCAGTTTTACTTTCAAACTTTGTGTTCAATTTGAAATATATACATCTTTGTTGTAGTAATTATCCTTCTTGTGAAGAGATTTTTATTACAGTCAAACTCCAGTTTGTGAGTAGATTATGTGTCAAGGGCAGTAAGACATTTCTTGGAAACTTGGGTGCATTTTCCTGTCAAGTCAATATAATTATATAATAGCTACAGTCCCCGATCAGCCCACAAAACCTCTTGTAACTTACATATAAGAGAGGTAATGGTATCGTTAAATTTGGTATTTCTTTCAGAAACTGTTCAGAATCTGAATTCTAACTCAAGCCCAAGGTTGAAACTCAGTTTCCTTACTTGATGTCTTGATAGCTTAGGGAAGCTTAGTGTTTTGGGGTAAGAGCAGTTTGTTTACAAACTGACTCTAAGGTGAGTTTAGTTCTGATTAAGTTACAACATTGCAGTGTCCTTCTATTTGACAGCTTGTACTTGTGTGTTTGTACTTGTGTAATATGATCTTAAATCTGGTTCAAAAAATAGTTAAAGAAGCTATGGGACAATTAACAGTAGTGCCAATGTGAGAACCTCCCATTCTCTGTACGGTAATGTGATATTTAGCATATAAGATCTAAAAAGCAGGGCTGATGATTTTAGAGAGTAGTGTTGTCAGTGGTACAGTACT